AGAATGAATTTGACATAACTTTCCTATATTCATATATGAATACACAACCAATGTAACTCCACATCCTGTACAACCACAAGAATGAAAAGTTACACTCTTGTATGTATAATACGTCAAAATACACTCTACTGTCATATATAACTAAAAAAGAACAAATGAAAAATTATATGTAAAAAAAGATATAATGATTGGGGGTAGAGGTAGAGGGCTTGCCTCACATTCATGAGGCCCTGGATTCCACTCCCAGCAACACACACACACACACACACACATACACACACATATACATACACAGATATAGTAATTGTAAATATACGTACACCTAACAAGAATCCCCAAAATATATGAAACAGAAACTGGCAAAAATGAAGGTAGAGGGGTTGGGGATGTAACTCATTGGTAAAGTACTTGTATAACAAATATGAGGCTCTGGGTTTCATCCCAAGAACCACACAAAAAAAAAAAAGGAGAAAAAAAAATGAAGGGAGAAATAGTTCAAAACCAATCGTTGGATATTTTAACATCCTACTTTCAATGATGAGTAGATTGACTAGACAAAATATATACATAAAAGAAATAGCATTTGGCCATCACTTTACAGTAACCAGACCTTACAGAAATAAATAGAATATTGCACCCAACAACAGAATTCTCCTCAAGTGCATACAATGTTCTTCAGGATAGACCACATGTTAGGCCACAAAACATTTCTCAATAAATTGAAAAAGATAAAAGTCATATAAAGCATCTTCTCTGACCACAACAGAATGTTAATATAAATTAATAACAGAAGGAAATCTGAAAAAGTCACCTATTTGTGGAAATCAGCAACACACTTTTAAACAAGTAATGAATCAAAGAAAACTTCACATAGGAAATTAAGAAAACACTTCCATATGAATGAAAATAAAAGCACAACACACTAAAACTTGTGGAAAATAGAAAAAGCAGTGCTCAGAAAGAAACGCATAGCTAGCTACAAGTGCCTAAATTAAAAAAGAAGAACTATCTCAAATTAACGCATAACTTTCTACTTCAAGAAACTGGAAAAAAACAAAAGCAAATAAATAGCAACAGAAGAGAAATAATAAAAATTATAACAGATATAAATTTTAAAAAGCAATAGAACAACAAAACCAAAGTTAATTGGTTAAAAACATCAACAAAATTGACAAAGGGTTAGCTGTTCCAAATAAAATAGACAAAACTTAAAGTCTTAACATCAGGAACAAAAGTGGGGTCATTACTAGCACACTTCTAGAAATGATAAGGATTATTCAAGAATACTATGAACAACTGGATGCCAACAAATTAGACAAAATGGTCAAATTCCTGGAATCACACAAACTACCAAAACTGAATAAAGAAGTATTAGAAAAATGAATAAATCTATAACAAACAACGAGATTAAATCAGTAACCAGAAAACTTTCCACAAAGAAAAGCCCAGGACTAGTTGGTTTTACTGGTATATTTTACCAAACATTGAAGAACAGACACCAATCTCTCAATAAAATTCTTCCCAAAAATAGAGGAAGAAAGGCTGACTCATTTTTTTGAGGCCAGTATTACCTTGTAACAAACGCCAAGGACACTAAAAGGAAAGAAAACTGAACACCAACACTCTATAAATATATATGCAAAAAGAGCGCTTGCCTAGCATGTGTGAGGCACCAGGTTCGATTCTCAGCACCACGTATCAATAAATAAAATAAAGGTCCATTGACAACCAAAAAAAATTTTTAAAAATATATAAATGCAAAAATCCTCAACAAAACTAGAAAATCCAATCCAATAGCATATTAAAATGATTATATGCATGACCTAGTGGGATTTCTCTCAGGAATGCCAGGGAGATTCAACATGTGAAAATCAATGTTAACACACAAAATTAATAGAATAAACAGAAAAATAGTTATCTCAGTCAATGCAAACAAAAAGAATTGGACAAAATCCAACACCCTATCATCATAAAAAAACATTCAACTAACTATTAATATCTATCTGCTTTAATTGCTGCTACTGAACATTATACTGAAAGTTCTAGGGAGAGAACTAAGCAAGGAAGAGAACTAAAATGTATCCAAATTAAAAAAGAATTTAAATTATCTCTATTTTTAGATGACATGATCCTACTACCCAGAACAATCCACACCAAAAAATGTTTAGAGCTAACATTCTAACTCAGCAAAGTTGTAAGATACGAAATCAACCAGTAAAAATCATTTATATTTCTATACATTCACAGTGAAAAATTAGAAAACGAAACTAAAAAAACAATTCTATTTATAGTAGCATCAAAAAAGAAATTCTTCAGGGTAAATTTAACCAAACAAGTAAGATCTATATAAATGGAAAGACATTTCATGTTCACAGGTTGAAAACTTAATACTCCCCAATTTGGTCTACAAATTCAATGTAATCCCTATCAAAATTCCAATTGTTTTTTTTTTTCTTTTTCTTCACAAATTGACGAACTAATCTTAAAGTTCATATAGAATTGCAAGGGATCCAGAATAGCCAAAAACAATAAAGAAAAGAAAAACAAAGTTGGAGGACTCACACTTTCCAATTTTAAAACTTACTACGAAGCTACAGTGATTGAGACAGTGTGGTGCCAATAGAATAGAACTGAGAGGCTAGAAATAACACCATACATGCATGTTCAATTGATTTTCAACAAGGGAAGTAAGACTTAGGGAAAGAATATTCTCTTTAACAAAGGTATTGGGACCGGCTTGGGAGGTTGAGGCAGGAGGACCTCGAGTTCAAAGCCAGCCTCAGCAACTTAGCAAGGTCCTAAGCAACTCTGTGAGACCCTGTATCTAATAAAATACAAAAAGGGGGTGGGGATGTGGCTCATTGGTTAAGTGCCCCTGGATTCAACCCCTGGATTCAATTCCGGATACTAAAAAAAAAAAAGTGTTAGGACAACTGAATAACCTCGTGCAAAGGAATAGTTGGATTCTTACCTTAGAACATTTACAAAAAGTAACTCAAAATCAGTTGAAGATTTAAATTTAAAAGATCAAACTATAAAACTTTAGTAGAAAATAAGCAAGTGAATCTTAATGACCTTGGGTTTGGCAATGGATCCTTAGCCGTGACAGTGAAGTACAAACAACAAAGGAAAAATAGGTAAATTAGACTTGATCAAAATTAAAATATTGGGCTGGGATTGTGGCTCAGTGGTAGAGCGCTTGCTTAGCACGGGTGGGACCCGGGTTCGATTCTCAGCACCACATAAAAATAAAGGCATTGTGTTGTGTCCATCTACAAAAAAGATTCATATACTCTCTCTCAAAAAAAAATTGAAATATTTTGTGCATCAAATAACATTATGAAGAAAGTGAAAAGATAACTGACAGTATGGGAGAAAATATGTTCAAATCACACATCTCGCCAGGGTCTGGTGTCTGGAATATATGAAGGAATCTTACCATTCAACAATGAAAAAGGTAAGTTTGATCATGCATCACTTATATAAGAATGTTTCAGTCAATGACAAGACTGCAAAAGCAATGGTGGTCACATAAGATCGTATTGCCTAGTGATGTTGGCGCTTGGTTTGTGTAAATATGTTCTGTGATATTTGCACAATGATGAGATTGCCTAATGGCACAGTCTCAGAACATATCCCCATTGTTAAGAAACACCGACTGTAAAAAATGGGCCAGGACTTGTATAGACATTGCTCTGAAGAAGATATACAAATGGCCAACAAGCATGTGCAAAGATGCTCAACAGCACTAGGCTGTGGGAAATGAAAATCGTAATCACATTGAGATGCTACTTCACACCCACTAGGATGGCTATGATTTCTTTTTCAAAAAAGAAAATAACATGTGTTGGTGAGGATGCAGAGGTTGGTGGGAATGTACTATAATTTGACTATGTGAAAAACAGTTTTGCAGTTTCTCAAAATATTCAATCCAGAATTACCATATGACCCAAAAGAATCAAAAACAGGCATTCAAACGAATACTTGTATATAGATGATCACAGCAGCACTATTCACAATCACCAAAGAGTGGAAGCAATTTAAATGTCCACCAACAGATGAATATAGAAACAAAATGTGGTACATCCATACATTGGGATATTATTCAACCATAAAAAGGAATAACATACTAATCCATGCTCCAACCATGTTATTTGAACAGTGATAAAACTGTCTAACAAAAGGCTACGTATTTGATGATTCCATTTCTTTGAAATGTCCAGAATAGGTAAATCCATAGAAACTAAAAGCAGATTAGTGATTGCTACAAGCAGAGATGGGAGAAAGTTAATGAGGAATGACTGCTTAATGGGTACAGGGTTTCTTTTTGAAATTAAAAACTAGACTTAGTGGTAATGATTTTAGAACACTGTGAATGTACTAAAAGCCACTGAATAATACAGTTTAAAATGGTTAAAATGGTCAATTTTGTGTTGTGCTACTACAATTAATTTAAAAAATACACAGAAACACAAAAATATATATATTTCTTTAGGTTCATAAATGCTTTTCATATAAATATATAGCTAATTGTCCAGGATACCCTCCAAACTGGGAGCAGTAATAACAGAAAAGAAAAAAATGATCACTAAGGGAAAATTTGCTTTAAAATGTATGAATTTCTATAAGAATATATTTATGTTTTAAGTGTTTAATTTGAAATAAATTATTTTAATAGAAAATGTAAGTCAATATGTACAGGGTATTAAGTTTGGTGGAACAGATCGGTGAGCAAATTTAATAGGAAATTCACTTTCCACTTTATATGTTGCTGCACTTTGAAATTTTAGCAATAGGTATATACTATATTTATAATTGGGAAAAAATCAAGCAAGAACAAAAGAAAAGAAACTTGGGAGGAAACAGAGATTAAGGATCATGGTCTGCGACACTTAGTAACAATCAGGGAATTTGTCTTATCCCCATTTTAGTCCATTTCTTATAACTATAATGAAATACCTGAGGGCTGGGTAAGTTTATAAAGAAAAGAGATTTATTTAGCCCATGGTTCTGGAAATTCAAGGGCACGACACTGGCATTGGTTCAGCTGTGGCAAAGATCTCATGGTGGATGGCACTGCAACGGGAGTGTGGGTGGGAGATAAAGAGACCACGTCACAAACAGGAAGCCAAAGAGCAATTCAGGGGTAGAGCTTGTTCATAATTGACTTTTTGAAGAGCTCACAGATCCCGCAAAAACTACCTTAATCCCTTCTGAGGGCAACATCCCCAATAGCCTAAGGATGTCCCACCAGGGCCTGCGTCTTAAATATTCCATTTCCCAACACCACATCCCCAGAGACCAAGCTTCCAATATATGAATCCTTGGGGGACACACTCAAACCATATCCAAATCATAGCACCCCAACACATCTGCTATTGCTTTGTGAATAACTGCCGAACTATGAACATGAAGGAGATAGGCAGCTTTTTCCAGAGACATCCAAGAAGACAAATCCAGGATATCATAGCAACTGTTAACCAGACCAGAGTGGAGGAGGGAAGAGATACCTGAGGGAGGGTGGGATGTGGCATTTTGACCCTGGCAACCCGGTCTGGTTGGGCTGAGCCTCAGAAAGCTGGCCATGTCCACACCCCTGTCCTAAATGATCTCTTCTGCAGGAGTGCACATCTGACACTAAGACTGACAGTTTCATAGAAAGATGACCATCTTTGGGATGGCTGGTAGCTGTGCTCTGCTCACCCAGACTGAAGATTAAAGTGTTGTGTTCCTGGAGACAAAAACACTCAGGGTCGCCCCAGGGGAACTGGGATGCATGAAATAACCAACAAGAGACAGAAATACCTTTTTATTTGGGGGTCCTATGACGGATCCTCTGACCTTAAGGGTCCACAGAAAGAGAGAGAGAGCTGATCCTTTTATTGAGGAGAAGCCATTCTAATGAGGCAAGGGGTCAGGTTTCAGGGGGTTGAGTCTAGCTTGGTGATGTCTGCTGTCAGCAGGTTGATTGACACATCTAGGAAGGCCACACCCAAAGGCAGAGCAAGAGAAGGGACACATAAAGGGAGTTTCCATTGAACATTCTATCCCAAACAGGGCAAAGGGGTAATATCACAAAGGAACAGGTGAGCATAGCTCCACCCATGGGGCTGCAGGAAGACACACCTACACATGAGGACACATTCTGCTACTTCGAGGATCGGGGCAGCATCCAGGCCACTACGAAAGTGACCGACAGAGCCTCTTCCAATCATGGAAAGGAAAATGAGCGACCACCTCCCATATTAAAGGAAGCAAGAAGATGCTGTCTTTTGAAGACTTTGAACATGGTGCAAAGCAGTCATTTGGTGGATGGTGGACCAGAGAATCAGTAAGACATCCAGTACCAGATATATGGTACAAGGCAGTAGAATCCTCAAATATATATAAACAAGAGCCATGGAAAGTGAATGGCCCTACCTGCCCCGGCACCCAGCAAGCCCTCCTGCAGAAAAAGGAATGATAAAAGGCATGCTAAAACCGAAGCCAGAACAGCCTTCCAAGTCCCAAAGGACTGGCAGCATCTCTGCACCACCTGTGTCTACAAATCTAATCCTAACTCTCAAATCCTAGAAACACAGCTCTTTGTGAGGTCCTAAGAGAGATCTGGCTGCACAAGAGCGCTTCTATAGCATGGCAGGACAGATCCAGGTTTTGTGAGATCTGAAGCTTCTATCATTTGGAAGACCTGCTTTAAGAAAAAGCACACAAAATTGCACATACAAAATTGTAAGTGTTTATCTAGGACAAGAAAAGAAGTCAAAACAAATCTCAATTTTTTTTTAAGTTGGCAAGTACCACAAACACAACATGATATTTATATTAACTGTCCCACCTCTATATTTGTCTAACATTTTTAGCTGCATATCCTTTGAGTGCCTCTTGATATGATGATTTTACAACATTGTTTTCTATGAAAACTTGTTTATCATTGACATTTGGGATGCTTAAAACACAGGATTCCTCCCACTGAATTACACACTGTTCCTAGTTGTTCTACTGGTTTTTGCCTTATGATTATAGTGATTCTGATAAATTCTATTTCACAAAATTCCCATTAAAAAAGCATGATATGCTTATAATTGTACCATTGCATTGTCAAGTGTATCTCTGACAAAATGGAAATTTATTTCAATCAGGAATCCATGAGAATATAATATTCCACTTACAGTTTTATGTGTCCGGTCACAGGAAGAATTTTCTTCCAACTATCTTCTTGCTTCAAACTTTCAAAATTCTTACTTTTCCCCCTCCTGCTCATGTACTTCTGGTGCTGGATACTGTAGGACATGCTCATATTACAGTAGCGGCACTTGTATCCCTTCATCTCCATGCCATGACACAAGATGAATGAACACATCAACTTGAGAATCACTAGCAAGAATTTATCTATTCTGAAAGATGACTGAATCACGTAAGTCTGCACTGCTAGCAGCAATCCAAATACATCCCAACTCTGCTATCCCTTTGTCACATCCTGAAAGAAGCTGTCATTCCTCACCACCTACCAGGCAGAAAAGGGTGACAGAGTAGTTAGAGGGAAAAGAGAGAGATCCTCTCCAGTTGCAGCTAAAATATCTTGCTTTTATAAATTTTACACACAAAAAAAACATTTGCTTCTGGGAACATGTCACTTGGGCCCCTCCCAGGATCCCTGCCTCTTAAGCTCTAGGAAGTCCATGCTGGCTTGAGTATTCTCAGAGTAAGATCCCTTCACTGCCACTAGGAGGAACAGACTAGAAGGTGGAGAAGAGCAAGATTTCAGATGCCCATTGGGCTTGAGAACTAAACTGAAGGCAAGAGGTAGTCATAGGCCCCCAGAATGATGGCAAACCATAAATAAAGAGGTTGGTCAATTCATTAGGTAATACAACAAGGGAAGAGGAGAGAGATGGTTAACCTATTATGACCCATATATATAGGACACCTATATAAAAAAAACTTAAATTGAGCAATAAGTATACCATTTTATGGGCACTTTGAAATAAATGTGGTATTTTTAGAGTCTTTTTTCTTTTGAAAAAAGAATTAAGAGGTGAATCATTAGAGCATTTGAAAGTGTGTGTGTGTATATATATATATGCATATATGTATAAAAATATACATAAAGGATCATAAACTCTAGATTATGGTTTTCAGTCTATTTTAATGCAACTGTGTCAATTTCAGTGAACTAGTCTCCAAATTGAACACTTGGGATATAATGGGTTAAAATGCAGACAGGCCCTGATGAGGTGCGGGCTTTTGTATCAATGGGCGGAGTCCAATGACCGGGTGTGACTAACAGTTGAGGGTGGGGCTAATGACTAGGGTGGCCTAAATGATAGATGAGTGGACTCTAAAGACCAGGGCCATGGACACAGAAGAAACTGTGAATGAGGCCCTTCCAGAAGAGAAGTGCCTAGTAGATAATGAGCAGTTTCTAAAGGTGAGTGGGGGTTGGACATATGATGGATGGGGCTTACAAACAAGAGGGCAGGGCCACCTAGGCCTCCTGAGCACCAGAAGTGGGCATAGGGACAGCAGAGTGCCCCCACTGAGCATGTCCATGTTCTTCCTTCCCACTAATCAGTTAGAGAAGGCAGCCATAAAGATTCAGTCATGGTGGCGTGGCAACATGGTGCGCTGGACACTACTGCATGCAGCACTCAGGGCCTGGGTCATCCAGTGCTGGTGGAGGTCGATGCAGGCCAAGATGCTGGAACAAAGACGGCGCCTGGCACTAAAACTCTACACCTGCCAGGAGTGGGCAGTGGTGAAGGTGCAGGCACAGGTTCGAATGTGGCAGGCCCGCAGACGCTTCCTCCAGGCACGCCAAGCAGCTTGTGTCATCCAGTCTCACTGGCGCTGGCATGCCAGCCAAACCCGGGGCCTGATCCGGGGCCGCTATGAGGTCAGAGCCAGCCGGCTGGAGCTCGACATCGAAATCCTCATGACCTAGGCAGAGCCAAGGAGACTGGATCTCTCTCCCAATAAAAAGACTTAATGACCACAAACTTGCCCTGGGGAGGTCAGACCTGTGGAAGAGGGCTCAGTCCCTCCGTTTCCTGCCTTCCCCTCAGAAAGATACCTGATGGGGTTTAGAGCCCCTGTCACCAGGAACACACCAAGGCCCCTAATGTCCTAATGTCAGACTTGGCCAATGTTGCACCAAAAGAGATCCCAGGGCCCAGGTCAAGTCCTGATGTCTCAGTCAGTCTGACTTTGGGCCCCTCCACAGTGGAAGGAAGACTTGGGCTTATATTTCTGCAGTCCCTGCCTAGACATTTCTATGCAGAGTAGGGCACCAGGAAGTCTGGCTGCAGCCAGAGCCAGCTGGAAGACTGGGATTCTTCAGGCCTGTACTGCAGGGCCCTGAGGGCCAGTACAGCGCTTGACAGGAAGCCTGGAGGACTGGGCACCTCAGCTGAACAACAGCAGGACAGGAACTGTTGTGTCTCTTGGGAGGTGAGGGGGAGGCAGTCAGCCAGAGCTAGCCCCTGGAAAAGGCCAGAGCAGGAGTTGATGGGCAGCTGCTGTGTCGGCCACCTCCCTTCCCTGGGGCTAAATGAGGCTTCCCTCCTGCTGCTGGTCATTTCCTGGGAGAAGCAGGCAGGGAGTGAATGTGGGTGGGTGAGCAAGCAGGGCAGAACTGGAGTGGGCAGAGGAAGGATAGCTTCTGCCACTGGAGGTTATGATTTGGGGCATAGAGCCTCTAAATCCCACCGTCCTCTGAAGCAGCTGTGCTGTGCCCTATCTCTCCCAATCTGCACCCCACCCACTCTCCCTGACTGCCAACTTTTCTGCTGGGCCTGTATCGGTAGGTGCTGATGGACCTCTGCTCTTCTGGGTCCTTCCTCTGTCTCTCCGCATCTGTGGGTCAACCACCTCTCAGCTGGTCTCACAGTTTCTGATTTGTCATCCAGGGCTGAGTCTCTTACTGTCACCCTGAGTCCCTCAGATGTTTGTCTCTGAACCTCCATCCTGGAAGTCTGAGGTCTGTGACTCTCCCCAGGGTCTTTTGAATGCGGGGTGGGAGAACCAGTCAGGAGGTATATAGGGACCAGGGGTCTTCATGGGCCTTGAGACTGGTGAGGTCTTCCCCAAACCCAAGCCCCTTTCCTTGTCCTCTTCTCTCTGTGTGTGTGTGTGTGTGTGTGTTTGGTTGCAGGTGTCCGGAACAGCTGCGGCAGATGTGAGGGTTCAGGGTGAGGTAGCTGGAGATGGCAATGATACAGCTGGGTACCTGGACTTTCTGATTGGATTCCTTTCTTCCAAGGGATACCCTTCTGTAACTTAAGGCACACTCTCTTCTCCCCCTGCTCATAGCAGTGAGTGATGTCGTTGAACTTGATGTGAATTTTGTATGACTAGCCTTGTAGAAGAGAGATGAGTTTAAAACCTGTGTTGGAAAGGGTTGATAATTCTGATTCTATACCTGCGTAGAATATTGGCAGCCCCTAGGTTGCTTGAAGAAAGGGGGAAAGAGACATTCTCCCAGAGATTCTGCTTTGGCTGGACTGGTATAGGCCTGGGCATCAGGATTCCAATGTGTGGCCACAGTTTGGGGACTGCTGAATTAAGCCCTTCCCAGCTGACCTATGTAGTCTTCCTTGAGAATAATCATATGAAATTCCAAGCTGGGCACAGCAGGTTCAAGGACATAGACTTCTTATTCTCTGAGGAGCTAAGAATGCAAGGTGAAACCAGGATCTAGAAAAAGTACCACTTTGGATCAAAACCCCTTGGAAGCAGAAAGGTATAGCTCCTCCTGTTAGCTGGAAGGTGATGGGAGGAGATTTGGGGGAAAAGTAGGCAGGACCTCTTGTCTGATGGCACCGCATACATGTGAGCAATGGAGACTCGGTCAGGGATCAGACCTAGAAGGCCAAGTTTCACCCAAAGCCTTAACAACCACTTTGAGTATCTCTCCAGTGGTTGGGGTCTTGAGAAGCCAGGGATGGTCTGGACCTGTGGGTGGGGACATTGGAGAGTCCCCAAGACAGAGGAAGTGAGTGAGTCCAAGAGGGAGACAGGGGAGAGGCTCCTCTTTCACAGTGAGGCCTCTGACCAAAGTTGGCTAGTCCATGGAGCCACCCTTTCCTCAGGTGGGGTGAGAATGCAGATGGAGCCCTCAAGAGGCAGACCCCACAGACCCCTGCTGCTCCTCCATCCCATCATTGAGAATTAAACTACATAAGTATTTCTTCCTGAGAACACATACACTGCAGCAGGGAGGGAGGGCAGGAATGAGTCTCAAGGCACTCTAAGGGGACCAGATATACCCACTCTTGCTTCTTGACATGGCATCCCCAAGAGATATGTGCCCTAGGCCCTCTTAACTACAAAGAAAATGCTGACCCTCAGACTGGCCCAGGCCACAGGTCCCTAAAAAGGTAGTTAGTAAGCAGGGTCCCTATAGTTCCCCTATAGTTCCCTTTGAACTTGGGAAAAGTCTCTCCAGATGGAATATAGTCTCTTTTCCCCGGGATCCCACCCAGTGCTCTCACTTGGTACATCACCAATCTCAGCTCTGGTCCAGTGGCTCCAGCGTCTCCCTCCTGCCGGTCTTCTGCTTCTCTCTGTCCCACAGGCTAAAACAGAGATGAGATGATCACAACCAATGCCACACCATGCCAGGCAGCTTGACTGGACTGACCAGCATTCTGATAAAAACACATGTACACGTGTACCCTGTCCACACCCACCAGGGTGGAAACGTCTGATATAGCAAAATCTATATCAAATACAAACAGAACACCAAGTACAAACCAGAGCTGTCCGGGGCGAACTGGAAGGTAGTATCATCCTATAGTAAGCCTTGGCTTGCAGAGGACCGCAGGAGGCAGGGGATGGCCAGAAGGGCAGAAAGAGAAAGTGTCAGCCACACAGAAACAAAATCCTAGCTATGGCCCTGAGAGGTAGTGTGGGGAGGCTGAGAGGCTACTGCAGCTATTGCTCCTCCTCTGCCCCTGTCCTTGGGTCTTCCTGATAGGCATAGGGAGATCTGAGAATATACCCCGGGGAGACTGTGTAGCTCAGAGGTCGAAAAGGAGCAGCCAGCTTAATTCTCAATGATGGGGTGGAGGTGCCCAAGTGGTGGGTCTAGGGGCTGCCCTATGAACCCTGAGCAGCCCACTGTGGAGTTATGTTGTAGCCAAGATCCCTAGACTCTAAAGATGGGGGGGGGCAAGAAGTACCAAAAGGACTAGTAGTCCCAAGGAGGCCTGGGTTGGAGACAAAAAACTGCAGGCTATGAGACCTCACCTCCTGAGGCCAAGGCAGACACCAGTTGGCAGCTTTAGGTAGGGAAGGGCAGCTTTGGGGAATGTTCTGAGGACAATATGACACCCATGAGAGCAGCAGGACCAATTCCAAGAACCAGCCCAGGAGGGAAAAGTGGAGTATCAGTAAAACACCCATCGCCTGTCAGTGTTAAAGCCCGGTGATGACTTCTCTTTGTACATGCTTAAATTTTCCATTTGAAAAATATATGAAAAGTTTAATTTTAGTGTAAACACTAGAAGAATAAAGATTACTTCAATAACTTACATCCCAGTGAAGAACTGTATTGGGCTGTTAGGAACAGAAATGTGAAGAAACAAAGCTTAAGTGAAATGGAAGTTTGCTTCCTCTCCCGTCATGAAGTCCAGCAATGGGAAAACAACATGACAGCTGCACAGCATATCAGGGTCCCATCTCCCTTCCTCTGTCCACACTGCATTCCACAGGGTGGAACCACAGCCCTTGAGCTCTCAAGATGACTCCCACGCTTCCAGGTGTCATGTCTACATGTCAGACAGGAAGAAGAGGTAAGCTTCACAAGAAGAGAGACTTTTCATATCAGCCAAATTCATCACCTTTATATACCTTCCCTTGGGTTGGATGCCATGGGCATATGTCTGTAATTCCAGCATGGGAGACTGAGGCAGGAGGATTGCAAGTTCAAGGCCAGCCTGGACAATTTAGCAAGACCCTATCTCAAAATGAAAATGGCTGGAGATGTAATTCAGTGTTGAAGTACTCCTGAGTTTAACCCCCAGTATCATTAAGTAATTATTAATAATAATAATGGTCTTTCCTACAAGGCCAACTTGTCCAGCCATCTCCACTTATAATTCATTGGCTACAGCTGTTACCTGACCCTCTCAGCTGCAAGGACTCATATTGCCACCATGTCTAAATTCAGGTGTATCTAAATAGGGTAGACTCTGCTGTGATACAGACTTCCAGATATCAGCAGCTTAACTGAAGTATCATCTCTCACTCATGCGAAGCGTGCTGGGGTCCAGTCAGATTCCTTACTCCAGGCTGTTCCACCAGGAATGTGAGTCCCTGTGATTGTGCTCATTGTAGCAGGAGAAGGAAGGGGTGGAAGGAAGGAAGGAAGGAAGAGCACCAAGTCTTTTTTTTTTAAGAGAGAGAGAGAGATTTTTTTAATATTTATTTTTTAGTTTTTGGCGGACACAACATCTTTGTTTGTATGTGGTGCTGAGGATCGAACCTGGGCCGCACGCATGCCAGGCGAGCCTGCTACCGCTTGAGCCACATCCCCAGCCCCAAGTCTAGCCTTTCACTTGGAAGTGTCACATTTCACTTCTGCTACCTCCACCCCTGGGGAATGGAACCCAGAGCCTCACACATGTTAAGAAGCTAGGATCTGCCATCTATACCACAGCCCCCATTCTGCTTTATTGGCTCACAAATCATGTAGCTGTGTCTAACCTCAGGGAGAAAATTGTTGCAGTCTTCCCAGGTGGCTGAAAGGAGAACAGGAAAGTGGTGAACAGACTAGTGATGCCCGAATCAGGGTTCTTTCCATACAGGAGGCAGAAGTGAGGTGGACACCCGGAGGCCACCAGCAAACTTTGCTCAACCCTAAAGCATTAGAGGAAAACATGAAGAAGAAAACCCATTCCCTTCAACAGAAGTGGAAAGTAGAAAACATAAGGAGAATCATAATGGAAGGAAAGTCCAAAGATGGGAATCAGTCTGTGTTAAATGGAAATGGGTAAAAACCATCTATTAACAGAATCTTACGTTGGATTTTTTTTTTAAATCCAGCCATATGTTGTTTACAATGGACACACCTGAAATGAAAGGCAGCCGAAGGATGAAACTAAAAAAAAAAAAAAAAAAAAAAAATAGAAAAAGGTAAAGCAGGAGAGAAACTTTAATTGTTTAAAAACACATTTAATCATCTCTCCTGAGACAGAAGTAAAATGAAGGTAAAGCAATTAATTTCACCCAGAAGAGCTCACAGTCATGAAGTAGGAGGGCTGTTGGTGAACAAGGGAAGACCACCATTCTGGAGGAAAAAAAAAAAAACAAAAACAAGAGGAGAGAGCTGCTGGATGAAGCAAGAAGGAGAAAGTTGAAGAATAAAATGCTCAGGGAAGGGCAACAGGATGAAGTGACCCAGGCTCAATTGCAAACCTCTGACTCCAGGCCCCAGCTCTTGACCACTGACCACTGTCTCTTCAAGGAGACTTGTGACTCTGGCAGTAAGAAAGCCCAGATATAATGGTGCTTTCAAAAAAAGAACACACATGCACACATTTACATTCAAATGATAAAACATACACACATACAGGTAAAGGATAAATGGGTATTGGTTAAGCGCCCCTGGGTTCAATGGGCAGACTTTGCCACCAGGAAAAGTTCTACAAATGTAGAACAGCAGATCCTTCCAATTGCTGTAAATTATTCCAAAGTATAGCAAGAACAAAAAACTACCCAACTATCTATGATGCATGATATAGATTGTCAAAAAAATATAGACAAATGTGCTATAAGAAAAGAAAATTAGCCAGGCACCATGGTGCCCACCTGTAATCCCAGGGATCTTGGGAGCCTGAGGCAGGAGAATTTTGAGTTCAAAACCAGCCTCAGCAACTTAGCAAGGTCCTAAGCAACTTAGCAAGACCCTGTCTCAAAATAAAATATTTTTAAAAAGGGCTGGGGATGTGGCTCAGTGGTTAAGCACCTCTGGGTTCAATCCTTGGTACCAAAGGAAAATTAAGATGATTATCAACAATAAATGCAGGTGTAAAGACCCCCAAACAAAATATAAGCACATTGCAACCAGCAATATTTTAAAACACACACTCATACACACACACACACACACAACACACACACACACACACACACACACACACCCCAGATAGGCTTTTCTCCAGGAAATTAATGAAGGTTAAATATTGAAAAATCTACCACCACAGTTACTGTAAAGAAGAAGAATCACAGGATAAAATAAAAAGATCATCCCCATTTAAAAAAAAAATTACTACCAAAAATGTAAAGGCAAAAGCTTTACACTAGAAATACAAAGAAAACCAGATACTGGCTTCAGTCTTCTAAAATAGACTCATGAAACTCATGGCTGGGACATGTTAAAAGTCAAGGGTTTTGATCATCAGGAGCCGTGCTTTTTGAGACACAGCAATCACAGGATTAGAGATTTCAAAATTTTCAGGTCTCAAGAAAACAGGGCCTAAATTTACACCATAAATTCTAAATGGAAAGAAAGTAGCTTCACCTGTGTCCCTGAGTAAGGGCCACATTTCCTGAGGAAGGAAGCTCCCTTGCCCACAATGACCACTAGGGTGGTGAAAACAATCTCCAGATGTTGTGGGGAAAAGGACTGGGGTGCTACCAGTGTTCTCTTCCTAGGTGGAGACCACAAAAAAAAAAAGCAAGATCCCTTGCCCATCCCTGTAGTCAGTCCAAAAATGGTAGAAGCAGCCATGTAAGACTGGTAACAGAAAAAAACAATGAAAACAAAAGTTGATTCTTTGAAAAGATCACAAAATTGACAAATCCATAGCTAAATTCCCAAGAGAAAACCTCAAATAACCAAAATTAGGAATAAAAGATGGGTCATCACTACTGACCTTACCCTTGGCCAACAAATGGGACAATTTAGATTCAGTGGGAAAATTCACATAAAGACACAAATTACCAAAAGGGATGCATGAAGAAAGAAAACACCTGAATTGACTGATAACAAGTAAAGACATTTAATTATGAATTGGAAATTTTCCAATAAAGAAGTTATAGTTAGGAGCAAGACATTTTGATGTGCTATTACATAGTAGGCTAACTAAATGATAATACTACATATTTCAAAAAGCTAGAAGAAAGGATTTTGAATGTTTCACTATAAAGAAATGATAAATATTTGAGAAGACAAGTATTTTTAACTTAATTTAAACACTACACAATATTTACATGTATCAAAACCTCACATGATATCCTGTAAATATGCATAATTTTTGATTTTATGTACCAGTATTAAAAATAAATTTAAACATTTTTTTAAAAAGAAAAGTCAGGTTTAGATGGCTTCATTGGTGAATTCTACAAAACATTTAAAGAAGAAATAATACAAAAGTTAGACAAAGATATCATAATAAAAGAAAACCACAGACAATATATTTCATGAACTAAATAGGGAGAGAAGTGAATATGATGTACTATGTGAGAGTCATTATGATAAATAGATTTTTAATAATGTAGCAATAAGGTCAAGGGTGGAGAGTTATTGTATAGTCCTG